GGCCAGTCACAACAACTGAGAAATGCTGCTGCTTGCATTGCAGATCAGTCCCTAGTACAGGACTCCAACTGTACACGGCTGGCATCTACACTGGTACCTGTCAATATCCTTCAGTACATGTTTAGACATTTAAATCCATATAACTTAAAGAGCAAAACCCACTACAATTTTGTGAACTTCCTTTAGGATTTGTCCTGGAAGCAAAGCATTCTGTAAGTCTCACAGAATTTCTTCAGGAGGAGCAGAGGGAGAGAAAGGACCCAAGGATAGCCATGAAATAGCATCCCTTCCCCTCAAAGGAAATTGCAGCCAATACTTTAGAAAAATTATTTTGTCCTTAAAACTTTACTGGAACATTAGCACAGCTCTAAACACATCAGAGACAACTGTCTGTGATTGTCACATCTATGGTAGGAGGATCACTTCAAATACACCAAAACATCATTACAATCTTGGGGTTTTAAACTATATACACCACTAGCAACCCAACTGTTTCTCCCCTCCATTGTTCACTTCATGCAAATTTTCTTAAGGCTGCCACTTTTAATCCTTTAAGAACAATTTAAACAAATCCATTTTAACAAATTCTGATCAGTATTTATGATCATCACTTATCTCTTACTGAAAACAAAACCAAACCAAACCACAAATTAAAGTCTTTTGACTAGGTTAAATCAATAGAACTTGTAACCACTGCAATGTCTCTGAAACAAAGTTTGCAAGCCAACAAAATGCAGGATAAACATTATAAAAGAAAACTATGTAAGAGACACACATAATACTAATCAGGTAAAATAAAGGCAAGAAGCTGCTTTCCTCAAGTAGAATCACAGACTGGTTTGCGTTGGAAAGGACGTCTAAAGAACACCTAGTTCAGCCTCTTGTCATGGGCAAAGGGGTGGACATCTACTAGAATACATTGCTCGAAGTCCTATCCAACCTGGCCCTGAACATTTCCAAGGATGGGGCATCTGCATTTCCCTGGGCAACCCATTTCCATGTCTCAACACCCTAATTGTTACGAATTTCTTGCATAGATTTCATCTAAATGTAGCATTCTTTACTTTTAGATGCCTAAATCCCTAGTGGCCCTGGTATAAAGCCTCTCTCCATTTTTGTTACAAAGCCCACTTTAAAGTACTGCAAGGCAGAAGTTAGTTTTCCCTTTGTACTGGCAAGGGTGGTTTTGTGGTTAAAATGAACTACAAAGCAAGCACCAAGTACAATGAAAAAGCTCTGCCAGACTCAGCTGGGCTCTGTCCATGGCCAATTCAGGCTTCAGAGTCATGCTGCCCAAAAGGAGGCTCAGGAGGGAAATGGGTAAACATGCCAGGGGCAGGGGCAAGGGAGATGCAGTGTACAAAGACCACTGCTAGAGGAAACTTGAACTAACAAGGGTGTGAAGCAGCACTGAAATTGTCAGCTACATGAAGTAATTAATCTAAGATTGTACAAAGAGGAGAAACAAGAAGGATGTCTGAAGACAAAGGGCTAATAACACACACTACCACTAGTCCTCACCAGGAGAATCAGCTACTGACAATAAAGCTTATGGTAATTACTAGTCTCGACTTGATATTATGTACCCTCAAGGGGAACTGACATAACCTGATTTTAGTGCTTTGCAAAATAACACTTGATCCTGGACCTGTTTTTCCACTGTTTGAAACTGCATGTCCTGCAAGTTTTCTACATCTGAGAAAAAGTCCTTATCTTATGCATATCTTTCTCAAGCCCATCTCAGCAATACAGCCATAAATTAAACACAAGCAAATGGACCACCAACCCTGTAGGAACAGCAACAACAGAAACACTGCAATGAATTGGGTTGTTTGAATTGGTGTTGGATTTTAAAAATACTTATATGTTCTGTTCATACAGATGTGTGATGACCTCTATGAGATGCATAACAGTGTAACAAATGGGTAATTCACTTACTCCACAAAACACAGATTATTGTCCTATTTAAGAAAATATGCCATCTGTAATATAGTTGCAAATCACCAGGGCTTTTTAGACTAATAGATGGAGAAGTTTACTTAAATTTAAATTAACTGACAAATTATAACACGCCTATTCTAGAGCCTGTAAGACAATACATAATATCACTTAAAGATTTCTTCTTAGAAAGCACTGTATTTCAAATTATAAACAAATTATAAATTCCTGAAGTATTTAATTACCTGAGATATTTCATCTGAAAAAGACCCAACATTCAGTTTTCTTGATGCTTCATAACCCAGTTTGTAAAACAAAGACTTTAGAACCAGGCTGCAAGCCAACAATTATCAACTATTACATGGGATTTAACTACTCCCTAAGTCAAAGGAACTATGTTTAAAGCTATATAGTATTTCAGTTTCTTTATAAATCACTTCAATGGTGAAACTTGTTTGACCAGTTTCAGTATTATGTCAACATAAAAATATCTGAAACCAAGAAATATTAGGTGAAAGAAATCTGAGAGAACATTGGAAAAATTTCAAGCAGTGGGAACTACAGGAAAATTAGTAACTAGCATTTAAAAAAAATTTGTCTTCAGAGAAATTATGTCTTAAATTCAGGTTTAACAAATTAGAAATAGTAAGTAAAGCACACTAAATGAGCATTATCACTTTTCCACCAAAGAATTCTTAACATGATTTAATTTGTAGTCAGAACAATCTACAGTATACCAGTCCTGAAAAGCCTGTGCCAAGCTTACTATGAAGCAAGCACATAGATAAATAACTTTAATAAGATTATACACATATGAAATACTAGGGTTCCTCAAATACCCCAATTGCAGTGTTCTTTCCTAAATTAGCAATATACATTGCATTCTTTAATGTAACTTCTATTTTCTTGTTTTCCTATGAAGAGCTATAAGAGGGAAAATGGCCATGGACCCAACATCACTATTCGGTACATGGAGGATGGGGAAGAAAAAAATGATACATCTTGGCAGTCTATTTTACTCACAAAAATAAAACCAATTTTTCTTTCTTCCCTTCTCATTTTCCCTCATTAGCCAACAAGAAGCACCAGATCTACTCACTACATGCATACTACCTTACTGCATGGCTAAGAAAATTAAGAGATTAAATGGAAGGTAAGAGCAGCAGCCACAACTTCAAGTTGCACCTCAAAGATCCAGACTTGCCTGTCATCTTGCCCACCACTGAACAAGAACAATAGGTCTTTAACACAGGAAAGGTATCTGGCAGGTTACGTGGAAACCTCTGCAGCTTGAACCCTTCTTCACTAGCCTGAATGCTGCCTCCAACATTTGGAGTGATAGACAAGGGAAGTTCACCCTGCTGAGCTTGGCTCACCTTGAAGGCACTATGAGGGAGAAGCCAAGTTTGTAAAAAACTTAAAGAAAGATCTCCTAGGTTTGTTCATGATTATACAATGCTTGTCTTACATTACATGTAAATGAATTAACCAGAATATTCAAAAGCTTCTAAGGCAATTTTCAAGAACAGTTTTAACCAGTTTTTGAAAGACACATATTCTCTAGTAATAGGAAAGACAGCTATTTTAATTAGTTTTTCTAAGCAACAAAATAAAAAGGCATTCCTAGAATTATGTAGATCAGTAAAATGAGCTCATTATAATTACTTACTATAGTGTTATCATGTAATTTTTTAATTTCACAAAGTTGTATGCAATGGAAAATGATCTTGATATAACCTATAAGAAGCAGTCTAAACACTTGGAAATGGTGAAATCATATAATCACACATACACATACAAAAAGACTAAGCCACCAAAAGCACCAGTGTCTACTTCTCAACTCTATTTGACAGTTCCAAAATCCAGGCACACATCCAAAAGAACTTTCTGCCCCACGTCTGGTCAGTAAAGAAATTGAGGTTAACCTTTAATTTTTAATGTCACCTGCAGCCAGTGACTGCTTTTTCTAATGCAAGTGACAGATAAACAGCAAAACACTCCCAAGATGATACACAAAGCACCACATACCATAAGTGCATTTTTATTTTTATACCAACTCAATTTCTCAAATGGATAACCAATGTTCCTACTAATTTACATTAAGAATTGAGTGAGGCATGAAAATTGTTCTGATGCATAGGCTCTGTTTCTTTAATGTACTGCATAGTGTTCTGTACTTTATTGCAACACTGGAAAAAACTAACTACACTTAAAAGGTACAGAAACTACATATCCAAGCTCATATATGTCTTAAAAAATCACTTCAGAAAGGAGTTTTAAATTATCCAGAGAATAGGAGGGAAAAGTAACTAATTAAAGGCATTGATGGAAGTCAGTAAAAGAAAAAAAAAAAGTACATATTAAAATGAGTTTACTGACCTTTAACTACTTGAACTAGTGTGTTTCTGTAGACCAATACTAGAACTTTAAATCCACATTGCTAGTATTTCCAATTTATAATTCCTTTATACAATTCAATACTATCACCTTAACATTTGCAAGGTAATTCCAAACTAAACAGAGGGAATATGGCAAATTGAGGTAATATAGTCTAGCTATTTAAGGCCAAATTGGCAAGTCTTTAACAGTAAACACTGTATCATTACTAAACACTGCCATGTTGTTAATGTTAAGGAGAGGTTTAAATTAGAAAGTGAATTGCCCCTTCAGGTCGGGACTTAGGGCATATTATGAGAGAAAGCAAAAAAAAGCTCCCACTGACACGGTTTGTGTTCCACCAGTTCTGTGGGAAGCAGACTGCAATACAGCTATCTGTCAGTTTTAAAACCAAATACTACAGTCACTATTTTCACTTGTCTTTTAAAAATTTAATGCAACAAACTGGGGAGAAAAGAACCTATGTTTGTAAAGTAAGATTTCTTTTGATACAGAAATGGTATGAAAATTGTTTTTGGACAACTGCAGGATGCACATCACAAACATTTTTTTATAAATGTCAAATGTGTAACTGTGGCATTAATGAAAATGAGGCAAAGTCAGTTTGCCTTAAAAAAAAAAAAAAAAACACACCAAAAAAAAAAACCAAACACAAAAAAACTCACATAGTGGCAGGTGCTCAAACACAAAGGAGACAGTTGTCTTCAGAAGGATATTCTCCACACATTCAACAGGCAAATAGCATTGGGATATGCCCCAGCCACCAGGAGCAATGAGAAAGCTGAAATGGCAGTCCTGGTACCAGACTTCTGGAATCGACCTTCAGATGGAGAATAAATATACTTAATTAAAAAAAAAAATCATAAGAATAATTTGAGGTTTTTATTTGATCTAACAGGATTCAAGTTTTTATTTGATCTAACAGGATTCAAGTTAAGGATTCAAGACATTCACTGCATTTCTACTGGACATTTCACTATAACAAAACCAAAATTGACTGAAATTAGCTTAAGTATTTTCAAGTCAAGTACTGTATTTCACACAATCATGTATCAGGAGAGATAGAAACAACAGGTAAAGTAAATTCACATTATTTAATTTATTTATTTCTAAGATGAAAATAATGGTAGACAGACAACTCTAACAACTTGAGCACTATAGAAACTTATTCAGTATTCAACTTGAAATTTTTATCATTCAACATGTGATTCTTGCCTATTTCTCAGCATTACTTCAATTTCTCTTCCAGAAAATGAACTTCTTAAAAACGTGTATCCTACAAATTTCTGTAATTTGGCGTTTTAGATCTATTTTTTAGAAAGTTGTTCAATTATTATTGAGAAGACCACAAGAGTTGTATAGGGTTCAACAGCACACTACAGCTGGTTACATACACACTAAAAATGTTGAAGGTTATGATTCTAAAAAAAAATTAATAAATGAAACATCAATAATCTTTTATTAACTCTCCTTCAACTGTTCAAATCACAAGAAGTCACAAAAAATTTCAAACAAATCCTCTTCAAAATATGTTTATGCAGAATTTTTCAGCAGCTGTGAGAGGATTGAAGTCAATTCATGGCAGGATAAAATGATATTTTAAAATAATTCCTCCTGTTACAAATATGCAAAGCTAATAGGGTTGAATTGGAAACACCATCTTCACTTTTTGAAAATGTGATACTTTACTGTTTCTATAGTTTTTTCAACAGGAAATTTGAGAACACAACCATCTAGAAACATTTTCATAGAAGTCCTAAATGACACTTATTTTGCAGGTAAATACTCAAAAGGCTCCTAGAATCTGGCCAATGTTGTTAGATTACAGTGTAATCTGACACTATAATATTACAGTGTTGTAATATTTAGAAATATACCACAAAAGCATACCCACTTGTAAAAAAAAAAAAAAAAAAAGATATTTCGTTTTTAAGAAATTAAATTAAAGGTAATTGTCTACTCTTGAGTATATAAAACAGTTCCAACCGAATAGTGGGTTTAGGGTTTTTTTTGTAATTTGGATTAGCATTCTAATTACAACATACGAACACATAAATGTATTTTTCTTCTAGAGCATCCTTTGAGTTATTAAGTCTGGCATTAAATTTTGTAACAAGATGTAATATATCTAATTCAAGAGGGCTTAGAGTATTCCTGTATTACTTATTAATATGTTAAGTGAATGTTTGGACAATTGATTTCAACTAGGTTTTGTGACTAAAACATGTGACAAAATACAATTTTCAAATTACATAGTCCATTTGTCAGAACTAGTGTTCTTTCTAATTTCTATAGGTGTTAACAAATTAAACAAAAAAAGTCACACTGACTAAATAAAGAACATTAACCATTTCAGAATTTAAAAGAAATCATCAGCATTAGCAAATGTATCCATTAAGCCACTAGCAAAGCATCCTTTGCTGTTCTGCATTTCTGTTGCCTTCCTTTGCTTTTTGTACCCTCCTTTCTGCATTTCCACCCAAACTCTTATGTGTATATTTGCAGAGGACTTACTATAGGGAGACCACAGTCTTGTACTGAAGCAACAATGAAAAATAACAAACACACTGCTCGAGTATCACAAGCCAACTCAATCACAGGTGGACCCAAGCAGTGACTGGTTGGTTTAATAAAACCAATAATATTTAAGACACTAATCCTGTAAATTCTTACTGAAACAACAGAAACATCCCCAGTTAATGGCTTAAATAATGTTCATGTAGTAAAATAAATAGAAAATATTACTCTGTGTAAGTTCTGAACACAGAGGTGATGACAATGTATTTCACACCAGTTCAGCACAAAGATTTTTGTGTGATTCATACAGTTTTGACAGTTTTTCCAACAAGTTAGACTGCAAAAAGGTCTCTATGCCTGCACTGATGTTTTCTGAGTTACAAATAAGTTGGATAGACTAGGGAGAATAGGAAAAGTACGATCTCCATTTGAGCATTTGGCCTAGCTGAAATCAAAGATGGACTTACTGTGAATATGAAGAAAATTATCTCAGAAAATGAAAAAAACATGAAGACATGAATAACTTACCAAAATAACTTATGAAAGAGAATAAAATATTATCTTAAAATTTTTGTTATCATGACAAAAGATATAAAGATTATTTTTCTTGAAAAGTACAAAAATGTAGCTTTTCGACATGAGCTATTAGTAAGCACAAATAGAATCTGCCTGTATTTAGCAAAAGTGATGGCATTCTCATGTAGACAGCTCATTTTGAAGGATACCTACTAGACATTTCTGGAACCTACACAAGGACTGCATAAATCAATACCATTGCAAATGCAGACCATCTGTCAGATGTCTTGAACATCATTTAACAAAACAGTCTTCAATATATGAATAAAGGTATTTCCTTACTTGCACAAATGCCTCCATTCCCACATACAATGGAGGAAAGCAGGAGTTCAGTATCATAAACTAGTAGAAGGTTCCTAACAACTAGAATTACTCCAATGTTTAAAGGAGTAGGTATCAGGAAGCAAATACAGGTAATCTGCCTTAAACCTAAATGGAAGATACTTTTTAAGGAAGCTACGTTTTCAAGGTAACAAAACAGGTACAATAGCACATACATTTCAAAGAAGCATTTCTGCTTCCCATGGTCCACTACTAACACAACTACGTTCTACTTGGAAGACTGAGACCATGAAAACATCCCAATGCTTTGCCACTTGTTCTCAGTAAGCCTTACTTCACTCTCCTTTCAAAAGACATTAAACTAAAGGGAAGGAGGAGAAAAAGGGGATGGGAACAAAGAAAATAATCTAATTTTACGATTGTCTGTTCTTCCTCCCTCAATACTGTCTCTATTTTTAAAAAATTACAGAACTAAGAATACAAACAAATAAAATTACAAACAAAAAAAATACAACCAAAACAAATTACCTTGATATTTCACTATTTTAGTAAATACATTTGATTAATTTCTCATCAAGATTCAATTATATTTCAAAGATCTATGCTGAGGGATTCAAATCTGAATTCTTTTCACACAGTCTCTAAATAAATAAATTTTAAATTAGACTTTAATTTCAAATAGCCATGTGCTGCGATTTTGACATCTGTCCATCATAATACAGAATTAAAACCCATAAAGAATGACATTGACATCAAGACGCACTGAAAGTATTTTAAGAAGAAAAATTTCTTTAAAAACAGAATATGTGTCATGTTTAAAGTATGGAATTTGGTTATTGAAGAGAGTCCCACTTTTGCATTACTTCTCAGGTATACATACACACAAAGAGCATTTTAAGATGCCAGAAGCCAAGAAAGATACTCACTTGTACAGGTCTATTAAATCTGTGAATGCAGGAACTGCTGCATTTCACAGTCTATTATTTATATGACAGAATGAAGATCTGAAAACATGAAATATAGCCTTAAATTATTCACTTATTCTTTTCACAAAAGGAGAAACCGTCAATCTAACGCTAAAAGACTTCAAGCATATTTCTAAAGGTTTCATGAAAATTGCCTTATTAATCAAAACTTTATTCCCTCCGTTTGTTCATTAAATACTGTAGCTTTGCATTAAGGTCAAGCAGTGTCAACCAATTACTGCAGTTGGAAAAGTCCTACCTCCTTAATACTCAAAGAAACCATGGTATATAGTGAATTATTTTAATAGGCAAACTGAACACTGTTTATCCAAAGTACATTTCAACCATAAAAACATATTTTAAGGGTTTCTATCAACAATCAATTATAGTACTATTTATTATCACAGCAGCATTAAGCATGATCCTTTGTCTGCCTAAATGCCAAGTTTAAAAAATATAAATTTATTTTAGCATATTCAGCAACATTCTGTTCTTAGCTCATAATAAAGGAAAGTAACAAAAATTAAGTGACCTATAAAGCAAACTGAAAGGCGAAACATAAAACATTGAATTTTAAAGAGACAGAATCAATTGGTATAAACATACTGGCTTCTGTTCTCATTCTCTGTTTGGGCAAGAGGGCTCAGCTTATATGACAGACCTGAAAAAAAAAATCCACCCTGCTTTCACTGCTCCTAATTTTGCAGTTTTATATTAGGGTGAAATTCTCCATGTTGCAATATACAAGAAGAGTAAGTGGTCACACGCAAATTTATTCAACACCAAGAAAAGGCCACTCTAGGCCATCCTACTCAATACCAAAGCCACAGTCATTCAGGATAAAAGGATTTCCTTAATATGTTTTGATATAACAGCCCAGGACAAAGTTCCCCATGTCCTACCTCAATCTTCTAATGGACCCATGTTAATGGCCGGCAGTTCAAAAGGCTACAATGATATTTTACTATTTAATCACCTCTAATTTTACATTTCAGAGAAGCAAAATTTTGCATGTCATTTCCTTTTGTAACTAACTTGTTCATTGCCATTTCACCTACTATATAAGCTGTGACAAAGGAACACAATATTCTGATGGTAACCTTTGAAATCTTACTGCTATGAGACTAACTGTGCCTTTCTGAAGTAACAAAACATGCAAAAGCAGAGAAAATTTCTTATACACATCCTGTCAGCTTGTCTCACTGGAAAAGAAGTTTTCATCCATGTCCTGTACCAGTGATCAATGAGACCTACAGTGATACAAGACACACATGCCATTGCTACAAAGAAAGAGAGGAAATAAAGTAACAAAAGGAATTAAAAAAACCTAAAAAACAACCTGTAAAATCTTGCTGAAATTATGGAGAAAGACCTAACATCTGCTGTCTCATTATTTCTAAAAGATCAGAATAAAGGAAATCAAAAGAAGTAGAAAAGAAAAAAAAAACAATCAACCAAATTTAGAAACAAGCTCTCTCCA